TCTGGGGTCTCTGCCAAAGAATAACCTCAAAATACGAATTATCAGTCTCTTCTTCTTGTTCTTTTGGATAGGTGCAAAATTTTCACAGCTGCGTTCAAGTAACTGAAGACTTTGTGTCTCCAGAACATCTTGTACAGTCATTTCACTTAACGCAGGAGCTGAGGCTGTCAAAGGAAGAAATCAATTATGATGATAAACTGCAGGTACGAAATGTATTCCGCTCTGGAAGCTGTTGCAAAGGCAGGGCATGCTCAGGCTCATTGAAATGCGGAGCAGTGCATGGAGCTACTTCCTTGCTGCTGTTCACACAGAATAACAATGAGGAGCAGCATGAATGCCAGGACTGTAATGACTTGCCCTTGAGTTGCTGGTTTTATTTATTTCACGTTACATTTTAAAATGTTTCATTTTGCACCGGCTTGATGTGTCTCTTCTTTTTTCTTTTTTTTTTTTTTTTTTTTTCATCCACTAGGCTTAGGGCTTAGTCCTAAACACGGTTACTTTGTAGAGTTCCTTAGTCGTAGGCCTTACTAAAATCTGTCCGATGTTCTTGCAGGTTAAAAATATCTTGTATCATGCAGTTAAAGAAATGGTGAGAGCTTTGAAGATTCATGAAGGTGAAATAGAAGATACGGATGAAAACTAACTCTGCTTTTTTGTGTTAACATCAAACGGAGGTTATTTTTACTAATATATGACCAGTATGCACACTAATTTAAGCTTCACAAACCATCAGTGCCAAGAAAACATAGTCGTCATATTTACTTGTTAATGACACTGTAATGGTAGAGCTTCATATCACAGCCACTGTGATTCCATGTTAGACTTGCAAACGATTAAGCAGCATTCTGCTGTCCTGTATTATAATGTACATGAAGTTTGTGAAATGTCAAAGATTTAAGATGATGTATTTATTTTTGGAAAAAAACACAAAATTCTATGCTATATTGTTGATCAAATGTAAATGTGACTTGTACAGTTTGCTAAAATAATTCAGATATTTTTCACTGCATTGAGACAGTTACTGTGAGAGTAGGACACAAACACCAGCTATTGTCTGCATTTGGGATCTTGCTGAGTCCGCACAGCAGTCATGTCATAATCTGAAAATTGCTGCCAAATAATTGTAAACTTTGTAAAATATAAAGTATATAAAGTAGATACTAAATACAGACACTTCAGTATTTTATTGAAGCTATTCAGTGTACAATTAAACATTTTCAAAAGCTGTAATTTATTTAAAAATTGTCTCATTTTGGTAAAATTTATGTGAACTTTTAAAGCTAAATATTAAACTTAATATGCTATGTAAATATATACATATATACATTCAATGATGTATTTTTTTAAAACATTGGCTTGCTTTAATTTGTTAAAAGTGCAAGTGTTACACATGCTTTGTACATTGAAGTTGAAAAGGGTTTTACATTTTCCATTAAAATGACTTTATCAAATATTGTCTCGTGTTTGTTTTAATGTCAGTGGCTGCATGTGACAGCCCAAGTCGTTCGTTGCACGTCGTGTTCTGCCGTGGTTCGTGTGCGCCGCTCTGCCCCCTCCGGGTGTGAGACAAAACTGCAAGGGGAAGTGAGCTGAGCCAGAAAGAGCCTCTCCTTAAGAATGAAACAATTTCAGTTAAATTGTTTTTGAATTAAACATTGCTTATGTTCTGTGTTTAATAATCCAACAACTTAACTTTGGGCAGAGGGGGGAAGGAATTTCTATAGGAGAATTTTTTTTATAGCCTCATGGCTTTTTACAGTTAGAGTAATAACAGCAAAACAATGGATGTTTTAAAAAAAATATTCCTATCTGTTTTTATTTAATAATGGTAAATGTTAGGCAGTTGAGCAGAATTCCAGCTCTTGGAGTTCGTTTGAAAAGTTAAAGTGGTGATGGATTAAAATTATTAAAACTATTCAAATGTTTAGATTCGCTATCAAGTGTTAGGTGCAGCTGTTAGCTAGCTTGTGACATGTCCAAAAGGGGATAGTAACTACTCTGGTGTTTTGGGTCACATAAAAAAAAAAACACCCACCCCCAAAACCTCCCATACAAGTTATCTTAATAGTGAAACACTGTTAAAGATACTACTAAAATTTCTGGTTCTGAAAATCTTTTATCTAGTTGGTTTGAAAACTTGGAATTTTTTTGAAGGTGGAAAGAAATACTTAAAGGTTAACGTTGCTGTGCTTGGCAGTTGATTCTCAACTTCATACCCAGTTTCATGCAGCACAGAACTGCAGCGTTGGCTGAAGATGACAAACCTGCTGATGTACGATTGCTTAATGACAAGTGGGCTTCAGTTGCACATGCTTTTTTAAAAAAAGTTCAGGATATGTGAGTGAGTTTTAATCAAGTGTAAGTATTTTTTTCCCCAAGTTGATTTTTGAGGTACGTTTAACATTTGTGGAATTTGTTGAAGCTGCTGAAGTTTTCATTCCTGCATCATATTCCCCCACCTTGTTTTTTTTCTACACAAAGAACAGTTGTTTGGGCCTGGGCTGTGGACTGTCAGCACAGCTCGCTCCTGGGGCTTGGGCGTCTTTGTAGTTGAAGGGAGTGTGTTGGTTTCCTCTGAATTACATCAGAAGGTGTCTGTCCTGGGTAAAGCCTTGGCCCTCCTGCTCTATGTCTTCTCAAAGGTGTTCAGGTGCGTTACTGTTGGTGACTGCACAGCAGACAGCACCAGTGCTTCTACACCTGAGCTTTGGTGCTGTCCTTTGGGCCCCCACAGGGCACTGACAGCTGCCCATCACGCCGCAGCATGCACAGATCTGGGGAGGGATCCCTGCCTGTGCCCGTGAGGTTGGAGGCCTTGCCTCCTCAGGTGGTGGCTGAATATCAAACGGAGGCTGATCTGTATTTACAAGTGTGAGTATTAAAGTTCTTCCTCTGTGACCCTTCTCCTACTACCTTTGCTGATGAATCCTTAAGCGTATGACAAAGCTGTTAATCTGCAAAAACACATGGGTTAAACAGACGGTGAAGCAGCAAGAACTCTCCCAAAGAGAAGCCTGAGAGACTGACAGCATTTGAAGATGGAAGGACTCCTTTCGAAGAGGCAAAACTGCTGGGATCAAGGTGCAGTGTTGCATGACGTACTGCGTGGTCACTGGGGTGAGTAATCTTTGCTGCTTTTGTAGCAAAGATAAATTGATAAATCAGTTTGAACTGCATAAATAGGATTTCACTGCAGTCCCTATGGAGTTTATCCACTCAATTTGTTTAGTAGATGGTGGTTACACCAGTGTATATTTTTTAAAAGTTAAAAAGTTGTGGTGGATGGATATATCTGACAGATGTGCAATACATAAATACACAACCTGATGTGTTTTCCAAATCACTTTGGGAATTGCTGCACTTGCAGATGGGATGGCCTCATAAACTGCGAGCAACAATGACTGTTTCCCGGTAACTCAGGGGAGGGGAAGAGTGAACAAGGAAAACGTGGCACAAGCTGAGCACGACGGGGAGCACTGGGAAGCATTTATTGCTGTCAACTCGAAAAGACTCTGCGAGTTGCATGCTGCCTGCATTGGCGGACCACAAGAAGTTGTTCAATATACAAATACCAAGTACCTGTAAAGGAGGCCACAAATTCTGTTTTTTTTAAATACAATGAAGCAGAGCTCCCCACTCCCGTACAGGACATGGGAGCAGGAAGCCAGGATGGTGGTGTGCTCGCTGCCAGTATGGCTGGAGTTTTTCACAGCTGATGTCTGAGACTGAAGAGGGTTGTGGGGAGGTGTTTCGTTATCAGGTTAGTTTTTCCTTCTTGACCATTTCCACGTTCTGCAAGGCGTTACTGGGCATGTTTTTCCCATCTTCCTCTCCTAAAGGTCTCTTCAGGTTTTTTGGTCTACAGTCTCAACTGTTTTAATAGAGCCAGAAGTACCGGGTGAGATCAGCTGAAGCTGTTTGAGTGCAGGAACACTGCCAGCATCTTGAACAAGAATATGAAGTACTGTGTCATCTTTTGCCACCTTCCTGTTGAGGCCAGGCTCTGTCTTGATCTGCTATGCTCTCCATTAAACTCTTCCTTTTTTTTTTTTCTTTTTTTTTTTTTGTGCTTTGAAAGGTCATGTCTCAGTCACCAACACTGCAGCCCTCCTCTCGGCACAGCCCCCCCTTCCCTCACACCTTTTTCCAGCTCCTTATCATCATCTCCATCCACTGCACTGCCCTACAGTACATGACCACAGCAATTTTCTTCCTATTGTAACTGCAGAGGTAACTAACGAAGAATAAGTAATTAACAAAGAATAAAGCAGGGCTGCTATGACCTGACATATTTCAGCATGAACAGACATCTGTGTACATGTTTTAGCTCAAACAGAAGGTACAGGATTGCTGGAATTGCTGGCAGTGAAGCTGGTCCCTGTCATGCAGATCAGATATAAGGGGTTATAACAGTCTGATTTTAAAATGTATTTATTCTACTCTTCCAGCTTCATGGAAGTTGCTCAGATCTGTGTGTAAACCAGACCCCCATCTGATCAGTGCAACTTTCTCATGCTCTCTGACCTCTTCTGTAGGTGGTAATTTTGTTCGTACCCTCTCCCGTGACATCCTGTCAAGCCCTCTCCTGCTCTCAATGGACAACCCTTCCCACCCTGCACCCAGAACTGGGAATTTCCCTTCCTTCCTCCTTCCACAGCCAGTGTCGCCCTGTTCTGCTGCGTTCCGGGGCAGGATGTTTGTGCTCTCCCCCACATATGTGCTGGCCAAGCTGCCTTTCCCTGTTCAGGCTCCTGGGCTAAAGCTTTGCTGTGCTTTCCCCTCCTAACCCCCAGCTCGGCCTCAAACAGTGTCAGCTCCCTGCTGTGCTCCCGCCTGCCACCTCTTGAGTTGGCGCTTTGTTCGCAGGAGTGCTGCTTTTCCTTCTGAGCCTTTGTGTTCCCATGGTACGTGTGCCCCGGGAGGGCAGGGGAGCGCGCAGTGGCGTGGGGTCTCCTCTGATGCAGCGTCAGCGCCACATCCCTTTCTCTCCATCTCAGCAGGGCCACCTCGGAAACCTGCCGATGAGCAAATGACCTGTAGCATTAGCAGCATACACAAACTAACCTCTGCACTTCTTTGATTTGTTCTGGTAGGTTTTGAAAAGGAAGTTACAATCTATATATAGTGAGTAGGAAAATCTTGCCTCACAGAACATCTTGTACCTGATGCGTTGTGGGCAAACAGTTGCATTTTAAACATGGGCCCTTCTAAAGCTAAGTGTCAGACTGGTGGGTTTTTACTGTTACGTTTCAAAGTGGAGATTTCTGGTACCTTCCAACCATACCACTACAATACGTTCTTAACACAGATGCCTGTCTTTTTTTCCCAGTCCCTGGGCATGTGGTTTTATTGTAGCTCTGTGCTTCCTTAGCGGAATTAAAGAGTATGGTTTAGTAGCTCTGAGGTGGGGAATCCTGTATTTTCACAGCTCTAAGGATTTCATATTGTTTGATCTCCATAGTACCATAACTCCTGCAGCAAATGGGCCTGAGGGAACACTTCAAATGATTACAAGACAAAAACCCTGGGTAAGTAGTTTAGGTAACTTCTTGTAAAACAAACATGGGAGAGAAAGGAGGCGGAGGAAAAGATGGCCATAGCTCTGAGTCTTAAGGGAGCAATGAACTTCTTTTTATACAGTTGAACTCCACGGGCTGCACACTCATGAAGAAAGGTCTGGCAAATGCTGCCCAGCCTATACCTGATTTGTGGCAGCCACGCTACTGTTCTGATTACCGTGGAACAGTTTGAGTGATTGGTTTTGCTTTCTAGTGTATATTTAGTCCAATTCAGTATCGGATTTTATCAGCTGTTGTGGCTGTACTTGCTTTTCTCCATCTGTTTTGCTAGTGAACCTGATTTTGTAGAACCACAAAACAGCCCAAGTTGGAAGGAACCTTGAAAAATCATCTGGTCCAGTCTTTTGTGGGAAAGGGAGCCTAGACGAGGTGCAGTCCCCACCACAGAAAGTGGGTCAACAGGAATTGCAGATGGCTAAAGAGCTGCTGCTGACAGGAGAGTGGGAAGTTTTCAAGACCAGAGTTCCTGAAAATGGAATTACTTTTAGAGGAAGAGGTCACCAGATCCTCTTTTCCCTTTATATAAAACCAAAATGTAAACCCCAACACTTCTATATTTTTTTTTTGAGCTGTCGTTTAAAGTAGCAACTGGTAGTGCAGTCTGCAGATTTTATTCTCAAGAGACTCCACATTGCTTCCCAGTTGCCCTTCTTTGGTTTCTCCTTCTGTGGAGATATAGCCAGAGACTGAGTAATTACAATTTCTTTTTGCAAAGTGTATGTTGACTATATTCAACAGGGATAATATTTCTGTGTTCCAAGACAAGAGTGGTTTCTGTGGTAAATCAAAGTCTATGAATAGAAGTCAGTGTCTGGACACGTTTAAAATTGGTTCTTGGTGAGACACTTTGAAATAACGGACCACAGAAGTTTT